CTCCTGCCTTGCTATTGGACATTCGGCTCTTTATTAGACCAACTAGGTATTTTAGACAGGCAGAGAATCCCAGTTTCACAGAACTAAACAAATGTAACATAAAAGAATGCAACACATCTTTGCATCATTAAACAAATGCTCCACAGCATAAAAAAAATGTAACACATCTTAAAATAATATTCTACAGCAATTAATAAAAAGTATTATTGGTTAACAGTAGCACAAGTTACCTTCCTAAGACCGCATCTGGCTTGTTATTATTTTTATTTATTTTTGTGTGTGTGGTCCCAGAGGCTGACATTAGTTGTCTTTTCTACTGCTGTCTGCTTTATCATTATAGCTGGTGGTGATTTATTTTGTCTTGTTTTTGACAGGGTTTCCTATGTAGCCCTGCCTGGCCTGGAACTCACTCTGCAGACCAGGCTGACCTCAGACTCACAGATCTACCTACATCTGTCTCCCAAATGCTGAAGTTGCTGGTGGCTAGCACGATATAGCACCACAGCCAGATTCCACCTTAGTTTTTGAGACAGTCTTTCACTTAACCTGGTACTTACTGGCTGGCTGGACTGACTTATCAGCAAGCTCTGGGGAATCTACTTGGCTCCACCCCAGTACTTCACTTTAGGATTACAGGCGGGCTCCCCAGCTCTTAAGGGGGTGATGAGGACCCAAGCTCAGGTCCTCGTGCTGGTCCAGCGAGCACTTTACCCGCTGAGCACCTCCCCAGCTCCTTGTATGCTTAGATGTCATGTGATGATGATATGATGGTGATGATGGTGGTGGGAGCCCTATGTGCCACAGGACAAGTGTCTCTTCAGAGTCGGTTCTCCCCTCTCCCACTTTTATGTAAATTTGATTCTGAGAATCAAATTCTGATCTCTAGATTTACAAAACAAGCAGCTACGTCCACTGACTGAACCAGGTCCCCTTTATCTATTTTGTGAAACAAGGTTGTCCTGCATTCCAGACTGGCCTTGAACTCAATATGTATCAGAGAAAGATCTAGAACATCCTGAGTGCTGATATCATAGGTGTACATATTGATGGGATGGGAAGTAGGGAAATGCACATTCTCCCCAACATCTGCCTTTTAGTGTGTGTGTGGCGGGGTGGGAGGGTGAGCACGTGTATGCTTGTGTGGTGGCAAGGGATGCAGACACACAAGTCATGGCGTGTATACCTTTCCACCTAAGACAGGGTCTTTTTTTGTTTGTTTGTTTTTTCGAGACAGGGTTTCTCCGTAGCTTTGGTGCCTGTCCCAGAACCAGCTCTTGTAGACCAGGCTGGCCTCAAACTCACAGAGATCCGCCTGCCTCTGCCTCCCGAGTGCTGGGATTAAAGGCGTGCGCCACCACTGCCCGGCTTAAGACAGGGTCTTTTCACCATTGGATATACCAGACTAGCTGGCCTGGGAGTTTCTGGGGATTCCCCTGCCTCTGATCTCCCCGCAGGGGTGGGCTAGGATTACCGGTGTTTTGTTTCTGTCTCACTCTCACAGTGGGTTCTGGAGATCTGAACTCAGTTTGACAGGCTTTCCTGGCACGAGCTTTTATCCACCAAGCCACACCCCCAACACCACATCTGCTTTTGCTTTTGTGTTTTTGTTTTTGAGACAGGGTTTCTATTGGCTGTCCTGGAACTCCCTTTGTAGACCAGGCTGGTCTTGAGCACACAGAGATCAGCCTGCCTCTGCCTCTGCCTCTGCTTCCTGAGTGCTGGGATTAAAGGCATATGCCACCACTGCTTGGCTAGCACATCTACTTTTTAATAAATAAGGGTCATCAATATCTTTACCCAAAGCAGCAATTAATTATGCCATAATTTTATAGATATTTAATAGATATTCATAGAATGAATATGATGTTCTTAACTAAGCATGGGACCCTGTCTCCAAAAAAAGAAAAAAAAATTTAAAAGAAAAAAGTGGGAAGAATGGGCTTCAGACATGGGCCAGGAAGCAGCTAAGCTTGACTGGAATGTATACTTCTTCACACTCGGCCAATCACTCAGTTCCAGTGAATGTATAGGTGTGTGTAAAATCGAACACAGGAAAAATAAGGCTGGAAAGATGGTGGGGAGCAGGCTGTAGACAGCCCTGAGCCCAGCAGCAATCGCTAATAGTTTTCCTCCACCCCACCCCACCCCTCCACCCCCCCACCCCTGTTCCCACACAGCCGCCAGAGCAACCGGTTTTTCTACATTGCAGATCTGATTAAGTCCTTTTTCTCATCCCTGACTCTTCAGGCATTTTCAAAGATAGTGTTCAAGCCGCCTAGCATCATCTGCAAGTCTCATTCCCTTGTGTCTGCCTGCCATCTCAGCAAACCTTTGTAGCTTCTTAAATGCAGAATCCCCTCTGCATTCCTCTCACCTCATATATCTCTTAGCAACAATCCCATAATTTGCCCCTCTCATCCAGATAGCCAATTGTCTTGTCATTACTCTGCAAATTTATTATTCTTTGTCTAAAGAATATAAAAGCACCGTGCTTTGGGCATTTCTTCAGACTTCATTCTCTTGCGAAGATCCCCATATACATGTAAATTTAATAAAACTTTATGCTTTTTCTCTTATTAATCAGTCCTTATACTAATTGGGTTCCTAGATCCAGCCAAGGAGCCCACATAAGAACTAAGAGGGGGTCGAGAGGGCCTCTTTCCCCTCTATGCTCGTGTAGGTGGTAAGTGATGGAGTCATGTACGTCTAACCACAGATCCAACATTCTTCCTTCCAGCTTCACTGTCCTATCTTCTTCATACAAAGAACTGTGTCTAACTGATGAGAATAGCCCTGTGGACAATTAAAGAACAATGAAGTACTGAACAATGTCCATGGTATTGAATGGAAGAGCAAAGGGGGGTTCAAGAAGGGAGAGCACACCATTTGGGCTGGCTTGGCTGAAAGAAAAAAAGGGGGCTCAGAACCAGCCTTTGAACAGGGCCTGGAGGAAGGGTGAGGCAGAACCAGGGTGATTGAGAAGATGACATGGCAGATGAGCAGGATGATACATAAGCGAGAGAGAAGGAAGGGGGTGGAGCCCCTATGAGGTTTTCTCCATTGAGAGTGAGGCTGGGGAGCCTTTAATCCCAGCAAGGAGGCAAAGGCAGAGTTCAAGGCCAGCCTGGTCTATATAGTAGTTCCAGGACAGCCAGAGCTACACAGAGAAACCCTATCTCAAGAAAGAAAGAGAGGAGGGGGGAACAAAAGGAAGTGAGGCTGGGGTACAAGACAAGTAGATTTTTTGAAGGGCACATAAAGTGAAACTTGGTGAGAAAATAGATCAGGAAAGAGGGCAACAAAGATGGAGACCACAAGTCTCGTCTAGGGAAGATGTCTCTGGAGTTAGACCTATGGTAGAGTCAAGTTCTGCCCTTACCTCTGTGCTATGGGGGAGTTGGGGGGGGGTACTGCTAGTGTGGATGATTCTACTCAATGTCCTATTCAGAGAGGGTCTTCAAGGAGGGAAGGAAATGGCCACCTGTCTGCTCTGTTGCTGTATCTGTCTGTCTGTGAGTCTTTCAGTGTGCAGGCTGTGATCATGGTGTTCAAGGAAAAGGGATTTTTTTTTTAGACATGAGCCCTGGACATGCAGCCTAATATAGACTAGCTTATTCTGCTGTAGATTGAAAGAGGGTATCAGAGGAAAGAGAGAGGAAGAGAGGAAGAGATGGGAGAAGAGAGAAGAAAAATGGCAACCATTATTTGCCATGCTGGAGAAAATTTGAACTTTGACTTTTGCTTTGTTTTGTTTTTAGATCTAAACCACTTGTAATATAAAACCCTATTGCAGCTTGGAATGGTGGCTCATATGAGTAATCCCAGCACTTGGGTGTGCAGAGGCTCGCTGCAAACTCAAGGTCAGCCTGGGCAGCATTGTGAGTTCCGGGTCAGCATGAGCTACGTGGTTTTTTGTTTGCTTGTTTGGTTTGGCTTGGTTTGGTTTTCTTGAGACAAGGTTTCTCTGTAGCTTTGGAGTATGTCCTGGAACTAGCTCTTGTAGACCAGGCTGGCCTCAAACTCACAGAGATCCACCTGCCTCTGCCTCCTGAGTGCTGGGATTAAAGGTGTGCACCACCACCGTCCCACTCAGCATGGGCTACAAGTGAGAGCTTCTTTGAAAAAAAGAAAATTCAAAACCAAAACAAGTAACACCCCCCCACATACACTAAAAAGCCTTCGGTTGAGAAGGAAACTCTCAACTCATACTAGGTTAAAACAAGGGAAACATTGGTTTATGTGGAAGTCCAGGTATGAGATGGTCTTCAGGTAAGACCTGATCTGTGGTACCAATTTATTTATTTAGTTAGTTAGTTATTTATTTATTTTTATGCTTTTGACCAGGGGATGGGGTCCTAGTAACAGCCCAGACTGATCTTGAACTCACTATGTAGCCAAGGATGACCCTGGACTTAGGCATATACCCCAATTTATGTAGTACCGGGGAGTGATCCCACAGCTCTGTGTGTGCTAGGTAAGTGCTCTGCCCACTGAGCTACCCAACCCCGTTTTGCATATTCTGTCACCGCTATTTGGAAGAGTTAGCCTGTAGATGAGTGCAAACTACTGATGTGGTCCATTGCTCTCACTTTACCAGGAGAGCAACTGGAGCCTGCCAAAAAGAGCAGCTTTGCCCAGAATTGTACATCTTCATTAATGCTGAGCCAAGACTAAAAAGATAGTGGTCGGGCCAGTGCCCACTCTCAACTAACGAGGCTCTGTGAAAGACATTTGGTGGTGAGTTTATGACAGGCAGTGCTTTGGCAGAAAGGAAAATATGAGGCGGTCAGGACCGGCATTAGGGCCACATGGGTGGGTGGACCTCTACAGGTCAGGACCATCCCCTACAACGTCAAGACTGGAAGAGGTGGAGGCCAATTGCTCGGCTCTTCTCCTGCAACGTAACAGACATGCAGAAAACCTGTTGCAAGTGTCTTAGTGTCTCTACTGCTGCATTAGAACACCATGACCAAAAGCAACTTGGTGAGAGAAGGGTTTATTCCAGGTTACAAGTCTCGGGTCCATCATCAGAGGAAGTCAGGAAGCTTCTGGAGGCAGGAACTGAATCAGACGCCATGGAGGGATACTGCTTCCTGTCTTGCTCTTTGTGGCTTAGTCATCACACTTTCTTATAGCACCCGAGATGACCAACCCCTGGGTGGTACTGTCCTCAGTGAGCTTGGTCCTCCTATATCAATCATCAATCAAGAAAATGAACCACAGGCTCGCCCACAGGCCAGTCTGGTGGGGGCAGTTTCTCAATTGAAGTTCCCTCTTCCCAAATGACTCTGGCTGGTGTCACAGTGACATAAAACTAACCAGCAAGCCAAGTGGAGAGCGGAGAGGAGGAGGCTGGAGCGGGTCAGACAGCTGCACAGGGAGCCCGGGAGTAGGTAGGATCAGGGTGAGCAAACTATGCTATTCTCTTCTGCCCCTCAGTATTTGTGTCTCGGGTGGAGGAAACCTTGGAAAAGCAGACCCAGGCTTTTCCAAAACCAGAGAGGGGAATGGGGAAAGGGAAGGGATCCCACAGTGACAGAAGGCATTTGAGGGAGGAAACCTGCTAAAACCCATCTGCCGCTTCAAACTCCAACTAGCCAATAAAGAAATCTGTTTAGCTGATGTTGCCAGGCCCTGACACATCCCTCTGGGGCAGCAGGGAATCCGATCTATGAGATGACATCCACTTGTCCTCATTCCTCTCACTGAGCTTTAACTTAACTTGTATTCTCTTTGCCTCAGTGAGACCTCTGCCACCTTGAGGCAGTCCTGGGTGGGGGGATTCGACAGCTCTGCCTAGGCCTAAACTCTCCTGGGATCTCTGCTTATACGGGAAAAAGAACAGAACAGAAAGAAAAGAAAAGAAAAGAAAAGAAAAGAAAAGAAAAGAAAAGAAAAGAAGTCAGTACTCCGCCCTCTGGACAGCACAAACCAACACAATGCATTCTTGTTCTCTTTGCTTCCATCTCCCTCCCTTCCTCATCTCTCTCTTCTCCCCATCTCTCCTTCTCTGTCATCTCCCTACATCAGCACCCCTGCCCTCGGGCTTGCTAAACTTCCAGTCCTGCTGAGATACTTGTGTAGCCGAGTCAGCCAGCCAGCCCAAAGGCACACCCTTCTACCACCATCTTCTCACCAAACCCACCATCAGCCACCTTCTCTGTCCAATAGGCTTCTCAGGATGGATGTCACTCGCCTGCTCCTGGCCACCCTAGTGGGCTTCTTTTGCTTCCTTACCGTCTACAGTCACCTGGGACCCGAGGAGACGCTCAGCGATGACCGGAGTCTGAGAAGCAACTCCTCCGTGAACTCGTTGGATTTCTCTTCAGTTTCGATAGTGGGTAAGTAGCCTGGCCTGGGACCCAGCCTCTAGGCTCTGACCCATGAGAGCAGGGACAGCATGTCAAGCCTGTTGTCCAGGCTGCTACCGGCATAGCTATGGCTTTATCTTGATCAGTCTTAGTGAAATACAGTAGCCTTGAGTCCTTGGGTTTGGGAAAGCTCTGCACTCCACTACGTTTAGTGTGTCAGAGATCTGAAGAAGCCTCACGTCAAGATGCTTGGCGGACTTGGTCTAACTTAGCATTTATAAAACTCCTCAACAAATCAAATGTTAGGAAAACCATGGAATAGAACTAAGTCTGCAATAAACCAGTCCTGCATAGGCTGGGAAGTTACAAGGAGCACCGAAGTCTGGCATTGGAGATTTGGTGGACTGACCTCACCTAATCATAAAGCACATGGGCTAAGGATGCAGCACAGTGGCAGCGCGCATGCTTATCATGCATGTCGCCTGCATTCAGTTCCTGGAACCAAAATAAAAGCAAATACACATAGGTTCTGTGAAGCGGCTCTTGGCTTTGTTTATATTTTACCACTGACGAGACTGGAGCTTACAGACATTAGTTCCCAATAGGCAGAGCCAGAACTCAAACAGGCGAATTATACATGTGAGCTCACAACTCATTGACTTGCATTTCACTGGGCACAAAGAGGGTCTAGAGCAGCCATTCTCACCCTTCCTAATGCTGCAACCCTTTAGTGCAGTTCCTCATGTTGCGGTGACCCTCCGTTATCGTCATTGCTACTTCGTAACTGTCATTTTGCTACTGTTAGGAGTTGTAATGAAAATATTTTTGGACATGGGGTTTGCCAAAGTGGTCACAACCCACAGGTGGAGAACCTCTAGTCTGGGAAGTCAAAGGAGGGAAAAGGAGAGACACCAATATTCCTTTCTCACCATGGATGTCAGACTTTTAAAAAATATTTTACTTCTATGTAAATGGGTGCTCTGCCTTCTTGTATGTGCAGGCCTAGTACCCTCAGAGCCCCTGGAACTGGAGTTATAGGCAGTTGTGAGTCACCATGTCAGTGCTGAGAAGCAAACCTGGGTCCTCTGGAAGTGCACCAAGTGCTCTTAACAGCTGAGCCATCTCTCCAGCCCCATGTCAGACTTTTTGTTTTATAAACATACTTATGATAGAACCTTTTTTGTAGATGAGGAAACTGATTACCAGGGAGACCACACAGCTGTTATGTGGATTCAAGGCAGATGTGCCTGGCTCTGTGCTTTGAGAGTAGTATGTATGTATGTATGTATGTATGTATGTATGTATGTATGTATATGTGTAACACAGATGTGTCCAGTAATAAAAGGCTGAGTCCCATTTTCAGAGGCTCACAATGTTCTTGCACCTACAAGGTTAAAGGCTAAAACAGGGTGATCAAGGGCCAGCAAGGTCAAAAGACTAGGTCTAGGTCCCTAACAGATGCCACAGACAGGTCTCTGGTCCCTCTTGGATTTCCTCTTTGCCTCCACTCGGAGCACACTGCTCTTTAGCTCTGAAGCCAGGCTAATAAGAACCTGCTGGTTGAATTCCCATAACGTGACTCATCCCGAAGTCCCTCTTTGTCCCACTCAGACTTCTCAGAGCCCCCTCTGCTCCTCCCACTTCACAACTCGGGGGGCCCCCAGTAACATCTGGCTTTGCTCCATCTGTCTTTCTTTGAAGCACTGAACAAGAAATCCAAGAGGATCAGCAGAAAAGAAGCCGAGAAACGGAAGAGATCGTCCAAGGTAGGCCTGGGAGTTCTCACAGTGGAGTGGGAGACCTGTAAGCCAACGCTGAGCACCAAACGGGAGGTATCTCCAGATCTACTGAAACAAAATAACTGAAAACTTCCTAGCGGTTTCCTGGCCTAGAGCCTTGTGGCAGACTTCCATTCAAGCCAGAGAGCCTAAGTTCACTGAGCAAGACAGCTACCTGCTAAAACAAAACAAAAAAAAAAGTTTTCAGTTCTAGTTAAGCACCCCCACCCCATTCTTTTGGGTATTTACCTAAACCCCAACCGCCACAGAACCATCCTTGTATCTGAATTTCTTGTTTTTTTTTTTCCTCCTCCTTTGCAGGGCCTTGTGCAAGCTAGGCAAGCATTCCACCACTGAGCCATGCTCTCAGCCCTAGCTCTGTAGTCCAGGCCGCCCATAAACTAACCATCCTCCTTGTCCAGCGCTCCCCGAGTGCTGAGATTACAGGTCCAGGCTACTGCGCCCAGTCTTCTTACCTGCTTAAAAATCAGAAATGCCAAGATTAGAAAATAGAAGTCGGGTGTCCTGGCACACAGCTGTACTCCCAGTATGTGGGAGGTGGAAGCGAGGAAGACCAGGAGTTCACGGCCATCCCAAACTACACGCCAAGTTCTCAATGAGCCTGGGCTGCACAACCACTGAAAAACAGAAGTATGACAGAAAACTAGAATCACTTGCTGTAGCCAGAATAAAAGACTCAATGAAAATAAAACACGGTTCGCTGAACCTAGCAGCACAGGCTTGTAATCTCAGCTGCTCAGGAGGCTGAAACAGGGGGACCCCCAGTTCAAGGGCTGCTGGAGCTAGCCAGCAAATTCAAGGCCCATCTGGGCAAAAAGACTCTGTCACAAAATAAACATTTTAAAAAGGGTGGGGGGGGGGTATAGTGAAGTAGTAAAGTTTGCTTACAACAAAAGGCCTGAGTTCAATTCCCACAATGGGAATATATATATTCCCTATGTATGTGTATGTGTGTGTGTATATATATGTATTTATGGATATATTTTTTTCCTATGATATGGCCATAGAAAGGGCCTTCCTTGGTGCACTGGAGGATGGTAACTCTAGAGGACAGGGCCGCTAAGGGGAAGAAGGTTATGAGTGGCAGGGGATGATAGGGATGGTGGATGAGACTTGAAGAGAAGCCGGAGGTGTTTAAACTTGGGGCTGAGTGATCTCCCAAGGGCCAGGTCGGAGCTAGGTGAGCCTGAAGATGTAGGCGGTGTGCATGATAGGGTGGCGGCCAGGGACCCATCAGGATGGCCTGTGCGTATGAGCAGAGCTGGGCAGCAGGGCAGAGATCTCTGGCCCCAGACCTCCACAGCAGATGGGGACGCATGGGCCCAGTGTGGCCCGCTCAGGAGCCCTCGACGTCTTTCCTACAGATGAACGCTTCGCTGAAGAAGGAGGCACGGCCCCCGCCCCCGACGCCCTGCGTGGCCACCCGAGACAGCTGCAAGCCGCCTGCGCCCGCCTGCTGCGACCCGTGCGCCTCGTGCCAGTGCCGCTTCTTCCGCAGCGCCTGCACCTGCCGCGTACTCAACCCCTACTGTTGATGCCGCTTCCGTGCTGCGCGCGCAGCATCCGGGGGTGGGTGACTGGGCGGGGCTTCAGGGTCAGCAGGGCTTCCAGGCTGAGGGCCGGTCTCTGGTGGGTGGGCGTGGCCTGTGGTTGTAGGTGCTGGGTGCTTGTCGAAGACAGATTTTCTAGGAATCCTAATCGAGGCTAAAATCAGAATACAGTATCTTTAGGCTGCTGGGGAAACGTGGCTGTTTCTTTAAAAGAGCCGAAAGCTTCAGACCCCTTTACCGAGCTCTGGTCCTTGCGGGGGACCCCGAGGACTGAGCTCGCGCCGCTCTCCAGCCGGTAGGGAAACTTGCGCGTGGTTAGTACCTCTGTCTCATGTAGTGGGGACGATGCTGGCCGACTCCTTCCAGCCTCCAGACTAGGACAAAGGAACCATTACGGACCGGTCTTGCTTGCAGTCTTTTCACCCATTCTCCTCCTGGGGAGAAGCACAAAAATCCAAGACGTGCTAAACGTCCACGAGCAGTCTCAATCGGGTGGCGGCGGGATCGCGCGTTTGCTGCGGATTTCTAAAGCCAGAAGGCTCTGGGTTGCGGATCCCAGAACTTTTAAGAGGCTCCCGAACAAAGGCACTAATGAAATTAACTCCTCCCTGGCTCCCAAGGGCACACAGCTGTTTGGACCTTAGAGTTTTTCTTACGACAGGCATTTTGTTTGTTCAATTCTAACTAATAGCCTAGAGTTTGGACTCCCAAAGAAGCAAAATTTACACACCCTTCCTCGATCTTCACCCTAGTTCCGTGGGCCGATAAGACAGCAGTGTGGAGGGGGTGCTGAAAGGAAGCGGCAGTCTCACTGTTTTTTTTTTTTTTTTTAATTGCCAAAAATGTTCAGCTGTGTCCCGAAATCCCACAGATTTCAGTCAGTGAGAAGCTGAGGTGCAACGTTGTAACTCTGGAAAAACCGTGGGAGGGAGAGCACCTGGAGAAAGGAGTCAGTTTGGGGAGCAGGTTCGGTAAGAAAGGACTAGCAGGAAGGGGGCATATAGAGGAAGGGCTCTCGATAATTTAATGTCGCCTCCTTGTCCTCGGCTGGGGCGCCTGTGCCATTAGCACTGGGGAGTCGGCTGAGAAGAGGGCTCCATCACCTAGCCTGAGCTGCCCCCACCCGCTAACTACTCCAGTGCAAATTACTACCAAAAGAAAACCAAGAAAAAGGGCCTCGCCAAAAAAGATTCTAAAGAGAGACTTTAAGAGAGAAATGAAACCACCATGCAGCTCTCTGTTGGTGGATTAGGAGGGTGCAGACAGGTGTGACCAGATTTTCAGGACTTTGTGTCCGTTTGCTATGGTTCTTTCAAATGCCTTAAACCTGCTGGCGAGATGGCTCACAAGCCTGCCAGTCTAAATTCAATCCCCAGGACCCGTGTAAAGGGAAGGGAAAACAGACCCCTCAGAGTTGTCTAACCGCCACAGTACACATGCGTCCTCACACACAGCACACACAGTCTAAAGTGTAATAAGTGTAAGTTTCACTCCCTCAGATCACCCTCCTTGCCACAGACCTTTTCTCAAATAGAGCCCCCGGTTGTGCCTTTGGTGACTTACCTAGTATGGAAATAACAAGGCAAACACCTCTACCCAGCCACACCTGACAGAGCACAAGAAAAGGCGGGTGCTCCAGGCAGAGCTGTCCACACAGTGCTGACACTGGGAAAGTCCTTATGTCTGTCTCTCTCACTTATCTTTAAAATGAGAAGTAATTCCAGCTGTTCTTGGTAAAAGTCCAGGAAGTTGCTATTTCTCCAGGCCTTAGCACAGCACCATAACACGCCCACGTCCATGCTCACCCACGTCCGTGCACACCCACGTCCGTGCTCAGAAAAGCTGCCCGTTGTTTGCTTTGTTTTCTGCCACTTAGGCTGCAAGCCCACAAGGCAAGAACATTTTGTTCCTTGTACCGCAGCTGCTGCTGAGTAGATGTCATCAGTAATGAGAATATTGGGAACACACTGCAGCAACTGCTCCTGTGTTTTCCAGACACTGTTCACCCACCAGGTACTAGTTAGCTCCGGGCAGTGAAACTGGGGGATGACAAGCTGAGCACTCGGCCCATTTATTCTTGCTTTGTGCTGGTTTGTTTTTGATGTTGGTTTTGTTTTGAGACAAGACGTTACTATGTGTAGCTCTAGCTGGTGGTGAATTCATAGAGATCCGCCTGACTCCACCTCCTACCACTGGAACTTAAGGCAGATGCCACCACCCTTGCAGCCCACTAGTTACAAAGTCATTGAGTTACTGGTAGACAAGGTGGAAGACCAGTCCAGTGGTTCACTCATTCAGTGTGTGTGTGTATTGGCCACCTACTGTATGCTGGGCACTGTAACTACCCTAATAGAAAACTCCAATATGGGTATTGTGCCTTAATGGTTTCGTGGGTCTGACCACTGATCCTCATGAGAGGTTAAGAATAGTTGTTGTCAGGTGGTGGCATGTGCCTTTAATCCCAGCACTCAGGAGGCAGAGGCAGGCAGATCTCTGTGAGTTCAAAGCCAGCCTGGTCTACAGAGTGAGTTCCAGGACAGCTAGGACTGTTGCACAGAGGAACCCTAACTCAAAAAAAAAAAAAAAAAAACCAACCAATCAATAAAGAAATAAAGATCAATTGTTAGCCTGTGGGTTGCTTCCCTCACACTTACTTACTCTTGACTCAGACCCCTAGTTAGGAACTTACCTGCCAAGTTTTCCTTCAGCTTTGAGACCCCAAGTTGTTCTACCTTTTCAGAATTCCTCCATAAGCTTTAGAGTCCACTTTGGTGACGAGAACCAAAGCTAACATATCAAAAAGTTATGATTGCATATTATGAGGATATGAGTCCTCTAGTCCATCTCCAACACAATTATATTTTCTCCCCACACACACTCTGGGTAAACTATGTCCTGGAAAGACTTAATTCTTCCATTCATTTCTTCTCACAGCCATAACCTTAAACATGTACACCCAAAGTTCTAATAATGTGACCTTGAACAAGTCACAAGGTTTTTCTGACATGGGGGGAGGGAGTGGATATGTGGCATAAATTCTAATTTGCCTTATCAATAAAAACCTGGGATCAGATAGTAGGGGGTGAAAGCTGAAAGACCAGAAAAACAGAGCAGCCAGCCACTAGAGTTTTAACCTTTATGAAATTCTCAGGCATAAAGGGAAAGATCCTGTCTCTACAAACTCAGCTCAGTCTGAATGCCCTGAGCTCCTGTCTCCTCCCACCCTACATTCCTCTCTCCCAGCCATATCTTTTTCTGTCTCTACCTTTCTAGTTCTGGGATTAAAGGCATCTGACTCCGAAATACTGGGATTAGAGGTGTGAGCCATCACTACCTGTCTCTGTTTCTCTTTTAGACTGGATCAATCTCATGTAGCCCCAGGGTGGTCTTGAACTCACAATGGGTCTGCCTCTGTCTCCCAAATGCTAGGATTAAAAAGGTATGTGCTACCCAGCCTCTATGGTTAACTAGTGTGGCTAGCTCCACACTCTGATCTTCAGGCAAGCTTTATTTGTTAAAGCACAAACAAAATATTATCACAGGGGGAAGAGGGTGTCTCATGTAACCCAGGCTGATGCCATCTAGGCTGGCTTTGAACTTATGATCCTCCTGCCTCTGTCTCCTAAGTGCTTGATGACATGCATGCAGAACCCATATGTGGTTTATGGTGTATGCATTGCTGGGATCCACTCCAGGGCTTGATGTTTGCTAAACGAGCTCTCCACCAACAGATCTCCCTGTATCCTCAGCCCCAGAAGTTGAAGTCCTAAGTGAGAATCTCATAGCATGCACATAAAAGCATTTTATCAATATAATGTTATAATAATGCACACAAAACACTGAAATCCATGACTAGATGCCAACATTTGCCCTCCTATATCAGCCTCGTCAACCAGTTTGGTTCTGGAAGAAAGTTTAGATCACCAGGAGACATAAAATTCTAGCAGGTCACCCCTTTACCTCAGATGGTGTCCTGCTAAGTGGAAACAGCAGGGGTTATGTCAGAATTTAGTCCAGGTGGGTTTTCAACATGTCAGACTTTCATGCATAGAAGATTTAAACACGCATGTTTTATTACATCTTTTTAAAGGCTTTGATATTTTTTTAAAAGATTTTATTTATTACATATACAATACAGTGTTCTGCCTCCATGTATGCCTGCAGGCCAGAAGAGGACACCAGATCTCATTTTAGATGGTTGTGAGCCACCATGTGGTTGCTGGGAATTGAACTCAGGACCTCTGGAAAAACAGTCAGTGTCCTTAACCTCTGAGCCATCTCTCCAGCCCAAGGCTTTGATATTTTTAAAAGAAATTAAGGCTTATGATATCACCAATCAGTATACTTAAAAAAAAAAAATAACAGTAGTCTCAGAGGCAGAAGGCCCCGGGGCTCCAGATGCCTTGAACTGTGGACGTTCGGCGTTCGGTCAATCTAACTGGCAATCACTAGGTCCTAATTCTAAACTCTTCCATCTGTTTCAAGGAGCACAGATGCGGACCACTACCCGCTGACAGGAAATTACCCCACTCCAAGAGGAGCTTCATAAAGAAACCTGGCTCCCGGAGCCAATTCCCACATGTGGAGGGAACTCGATAAGTGAAGGTCAGAAAGTGACTGCAACCAAATCAGCCAAACCATCTGTAGTAACTTTCCTATTCATCTAGAGTAGACTTTTTACTCTTAGACATGTGTGTTGAAGAAGAGAAGGCAGTTGAAAAGGAATGGGGTGGTTTTTTGTTGTTGTTTTATCAAGTAAAATATTTCAAAATCATAAAATGTTGCATTCATTCCAGAGGGAACTTCTCTCCTGAGAGCTTGCAGGAAAATAGTAACTACTTGCTACCCCTGCCCGCAGGCGAATCTAGGAGTTGCATCCTGGAGCCGGCACTGGTGCTGATGAAGGTGCTTCGTGGCCTTCTTGTTGGGGAAGCTCAGCCAACACTCTCCTCCATTTGAGTCTTAAAGGATTTCACACCTTCCAGCCGTCTCTTTAGAATTCCTCTGCCCTGTGGCTGTGTAGACTATGAGAGCAACAGTAAAATTACAGCTACATGAGTCACACTCAGCTTCCGGGCACTTCTAGCAAAATCCCGAAAGCCCTGTGCTTAAGTCAGGGCCAACTTGAATCACGTGCTTATTCTTTTTTTTTTTTTAAATATTTATTTATTTCTTATGTATACAATAATCTGTCTGTATGCCTGAAGGCCAGAAGAGGGCGCCAGACCTCTTTACAGATGGTTGTGAGCCACCATGTGGTTGCTGGGAATTGAACTCAGGACCTTTGGAAGAGCAGGCAATGCTCTTAACCACTGAGCCATCTCTCCAGCACGTGCTTATTCTTAAACCAGTTTGTGGAGCTGAAAGATGCGTTGATTGGCGTTAGTTGGCTAAGCCTGGATTATGCGAGCACCCCTGGTTGCTTTGTGCAGGTCTGCTGGCTTTGTCTCCTGGGATAGTGTTGAGTCTCCAGGATGAGACTCTGGCTTCCTGGAACTTCAGACCTTCAAGGCAGAGCTAAGCACCTACTACCTGCTGCCTCCTGGGCTTTAGTCTAAGCTTCCTCCAGCCAGCTAAGATTGAGGAGTCTCCCCCCAACAGCATGCCACCTGGAGGCAGGAAGTACCCAGACCTGCAAGGTGACTTCAGATAAACTGCAGAAGCTCTGGGGTGTCATGTCTCCACATCTAAACCCTGACTTCTCCTTCAGTGATGCTCTAAGGTACTTCTTACTACTGGACCTTTGCTTCCTGACACAAAGGCAAACACCATGCACTGCCATTTAAACAGGGCTTTCTTCAGAGCCAACAGTCTCTGCCGTCCATCTCACCAGCAGCCAGCAGATTACACAGGAAGGGAAACACAAGCAGTCACTCCAGAGTTGAGCTTTGCCCTCTCTGTTCCAGCGGCCAGTCTCCCCAGAGATCTGTGGTGTAGCGGCATCTCTCCTTATCACCCCCACTCTGTAGCAGGGGAGGACTTGCTCTCCCTCTTTATTGTCTGTGTACGTGGGAGGGATGGCTAGATGTTTGGAGGACATCTCTGTGGAAGGTTAACTCACATTAGCAATGTGGGCGGGAGATTCCTTCCTACAGAACGGGGTACAAACGTGCGTTTATAAAACACGTTAAATATTGTCTAGATCTCAAGAAGTATTCTAAATTCCTTGCCCTCCAACTCCCTCCCCAACCCTGGCCCTTAAAACTTGACATAGAACTTGAGCTTCAAGGGTCTGAGGTTTTTCTGCCACTATCCTGAGTCATGAGTGACTTGGGTCTTCTTAACCCCCAGATCACTGCCCCACAATCCTCCAAGCCTCATCTTGTTTTTTCGGGATAGAAGGGAAACAGCTAATTCTTCCCTCCTGAAACTCTGACAAGAAGCCATGGAGGAGGCAGGAGACACACATCTTTTATTGTGGGTACCCTGGTCATTGTCACAACTGTGACAGCACACCTGAGTGACATCTGAGACCAGATATGAAAGTGTTATTTTGAATGAAAAGGTTCTGAAAATGAGAGGATTTCTCCAAAGAAGAGAGGAAAAAGTCAGGGTACAAAAGCCAGAACCCCAGGGGACAGGAGGTTAGGGCTGTATGGGACTCTCACAGGTCAAACACTTGGAAAGGCACTTGACCTGTCTTGGGGAGACAACTTTGAGGGGAAGTGCTCACACTCAGCTGGGTCCTTTGGAGGGATCAGCAAGGCTACTGCATTGACCTTCACTCAGAAGAGCAGCTTCCCATGTCTACTTGTCAGGGTGGGGTGAAGCAACCCCCACTATTGGACCTTGCTTTTAGGGACTTTTAGGGAGTTCCAGTTTGAGTTCCTTATTCTAATGTTAAGGAGTCTGAAACCTCACCCCCTTCCTCCCAACCCAGGGCCTGTGGTATAGAAAGGTCTTGGATTTTAGTTCCAAGAATCCAACCTAGTAGAACTGCTATTTCATTCAAATGGACTCTCTCAGCCTCAGAGCCAAGACTAGTAAATTCTCATTAATAAAATCCCCTTGAACGACAGAATGCAATGGGCACTCCTCTATGATCCCAGGCAACAGTTCTGTAATTTTAGGGTCAGCCTGGGCTAAATAGCAAGGCCATCTCAAAACCAAGGTTTCTTTGGTCCAACCTTGCACACAATTGGTGTACAAGAAGTAGTACTGGGGATAGATTTTTTTTTCATGAATTAAGATTGTTTTTTATTCCAAAAGTCCCGAGTTCAATTCCCAGCAACCATATGGTGGCTCACAACCATCTGTAATGAGGTCTGATGCCCTATTGTATATATAATAAATATTAAAAAAGTTTTAGCCAGGTGGTGGTGGCGCACACCTTTAATCCCAGCACTTGGGAGGCAGAGGCAGGTGAGTTCAAGGCCAGCATGGTCTATAGAACTAGTTCCAGGACAGGCTCCAAAGCTACAGAGAAACCCTGTCTTGAAAAACCAAAAAAAAAAAAGTTTTTATTCTTGCATATTTTGTACTTTTATTCAGTAGATTTTGACCCTGTCCATCTATCACTATCTGTTTGTTTGCGACAGAATCTGATAGCTCAAGCTGTTTGCAATTCCCCAAGTAGCCAAGGGTGACCTTGAACTCCTGACCCTCCTTATGCCCCTCTTCTACTGCAGGGATTACATCTGTCTTCTCAGTCCGTCCTTCCCAGTCTCTTTTGCCATTTTATGGTGTCCAGTTGGGAAGTGGATCCCTGGCATTTGACTTTACCAAACCTGATCAGTTATTTTTGGCAAAGTCACCATGTACGCGTGTAGCTTACACACCTCGGCTACACACACTGCGGGAACACCCCGAGCTGGAATGAGCATCCAGTGTGCCAGTGGACTGCTGAATGAACGAGGGTTTTGTTCGATGGAGAGGAGTGCTTTGCCGTGTAAGCCTGAGAGCTGAGTGTGTCTGGTCCCTGGAGCCCACGTGAAGACGGACGAGAACCAACCCCAGAAAGTTGTCTTCTGACCTCTTTGTGCATGCCGTACGCACGTCACACTGGCAGGAAGATCAGAAATTGAGTCACCTTTGGTGGTTTGCCAGCCTGGGCCACTGAGACCATGTCTCAGAAACAGTAAAGCCCTAAAGCCCTAAAGCCCTACCCTTTTCCAGCACCACCTCTTCTCCACTGGCTTTCTCCTGCTGCCAGACATGGAACCAGCTGAGCAGAAAGGGGGAGAGGCAGGGGAGGGCAGAGCTGTTCCTGCGAGACATCCCAGCCATCTGTGTGTAGCTCTCACTTCCATTCCGTGGTGGGCACTCAAAACATCATCCCGTGCACGAGGGTTGTTTTTAATGGACTTCAAGGTCAAACGGGTTCAGAAAATGAGGACTTGGGCAAATAAGAGGGAGCTCGATTTCTCGTGTTTTTGTGATTCAAATTATGAGGTCTCTGATCTTTTAAAATCATTTCTGCAGGACTCCCAGAAGTGATGGCTCACTGAGTAAGGCCACTTGCACTCGTTAGAAAGCCATGTTCTACTGTAACCCAGCAAGGGTGTGTGTGTGCGTGTGTGCCTGTGCACAGGAACAACCCAGATCTAGGTTCAGTAAGAAACCGTCTCAGAGGAATACAAAGGGAGGGTGTTCACACACCCAATATCCTCTTCTGGACTCCATGAGCACAGGTACACGTTCCTGCACACACATGTGCATACACCACACACACTTAAAACTGTCATACGTGGTAAACAATATCTTACATATAGAATAAAGGGTCAAAATTCTTTAGGAACCAGAAATTTTATTTAATCCACCTTCCTTTATTAGCATTCTAAACACTATAATCCAAATTAATCTCTTTGTGACCCAGGCTTGTGATAGGCACCATCAGTAACCAAAGAGTGACAGACCTTAGCCTATTTGTTTTTTCCAGCCCCTTTTAACCTCTAGCTGTCACCTGTCCCTTCTGGTTAATTATCTCTTAATTCTAACCCCTGTGAAATAGGGACCAAAAGTACCAACCTCAGTATTCTGAGATTTAAAGAGACGGCCCAATGGTAAATAAGTCAAGCTCTGAGGAACCTTCCAGCTCCAGTGGTTCCCACTCTCTGGTAGAGCTCCTTCTCCGGTCCTGGGCTGAGAAACCAACCACACAGCTCTAAAGACCAAGTGAGACCCTGGATGGTAAAGTGCGTGGGCTCGTGACCACCACTAGCCACATCCACCCTCAGGGCTTCCAAGGCTCATGTCCCCTGCAGATGGCTCCTGACTGGAGACTCTCAGTTCCCCTTGCCACACCTGGAACC